TACGTTACGTTACTTACTACTCTCTCTCTCTCTCTCTCTCTCTCTCTCTCTCTCTCTCTCTCTCTCTCTCTGGTTTCGATTCTCTATAGCCGATATATATGTATTCTAGACTTTAATCGCCTTCCTTCGAGTTTCCGCGATGGTGGGCTCAACCATCCTTGATCCCAGTATCCATCAAGAAACTTAGTATCCGGTTACGTCGACACGTCTCCTCTCCGTGAAAATTCTCACCTGCTTTCATGATTAAGCTCAAGATTAATGATTTAACAAGCAGTTCGTGAATAACAAACTAATCAAATCTCATTCGAGAATTCCATTGCAAATTATGATTAGCTTGTAACATGAGAAAATATAAATAACTTCATCGATTTAAGCTAACGCCAGACTATGCACGATTAAAAATTCGCGTCCTTTGATTTCGTCAGATAAGTATAATTCTGTATAAAAATGATTAAAGTTGAAAGTATATAACTTAATATACTACTCAATGTTATATTTTTCTTTATATAACACAATAACTTTCTTTAAAAGCGTACGATTTAATAGAAATATGAACAAAGTGACTGTATATATTGAAATGATTTTTAAATGACAATAAAGGTTATGCTACTTAAAGGTTGAAAGAGCAAAATTTAAAAAATCACAATCTTTTACATATATTCTATCGAATCATCTACAGAATAATTTTGCAATTTTAATATCTGATTTTTAATTAACAAAAAGTGCATTTAATGTATGTTAAATATTGATCGCTATGTGTGACTGTGATTATTCTCAGAGAACATTATAACTTGATTTATAAGTGACATTCTACAATAAGCGAATAAGCCATAATAGATCATAAGCCAGAAAATAAGAATTGATCAATCATAGTCGATTTTTATTATATTCAAGCTGTGATCAGTCAATTCTTAGCTTCTGACTTATGATCTGTTACCTACAGCTTATTATAAAATAGTTAATGCTTTTTAGGTATTTTTTTAGATGTCTTATTTTTAAAGATTTTGATAATATAAAAATTAGTTTTGCGAAAATTATATATCATAGAGTGTTCCATTTTAATTTTCACAGGTAAGTATGAAAAAATATGAAAGATATAGGAAAACATTTCAGGTAAAAGTTGTAGGTTTGTAGGTTTGAAAAGGCCATTTAATATAGTTATCAAAAAATAAATAGTATCACATATTTTATATT